GCCAAGGCCAGAAATATAAATAGCAACCCTCGTATAAGGTTTCAAAAAAAAATAATAAATAAATAAAAGGAAGAAGAAGAAACCGTATTTTTAAATTTTCAACCAACTGGATTGAATTATTTCAAACAGTAAATTTTGTTTTTTAAAATAATAAAAGTTAAAGTTGTATAAAAAAAAATTTACGTTACAAGTCAAATTTTTTTCGAACAATATTAAATAAAATAATAAGCGATTATTAAAAATTATTTTTATAATTATAACTAAGCTAATTGTTATGATTGAGCTAACTGTTCTACTCAGAAACTGTCAGATTTAATCGACATAATATTTGTTTAATGGTAGCGTTTCGCACTCCCGTGCCACAGGTCCTGGGTTCGATCCTCAGGCCGGGCAAGGTTGACTCAGCCTTTCATCCCTTCAGTGGGTCGTAAATGAGTACCAAGCATGCTTGGGAACTAAACACTGGGGGTTCCGCGTTCAGCTGACCACCTAACCGGAACATTTTCTCCTGCACCCCAGAGCCCAAGGTCAAGAAAACTGAGATGGGCACAGTAGGCCTTGGCCCTCTATGGGCTGTCGTGCCACTGAGTTTTAGTAATATTTGTTTAATTGTATATAATATATAATCCTTGAAAAAGTCATAGACGCACCACTCTTTTCATAACTTAATTTTTTTCTCAGAAAAAGTCAAATCTCTCGATCATGCTCCATTAGTGGGGTAAGATTGGATGCATATCTAAAGTTTATGGAGAATTTAAGAATATTATAATTTCCCTAAAAAATACCAGACATTTTTATTTTATGAGACAATGGAATACCTGAAAGTGACGTAGTATCTCGATCCTGAATGGTTGTTGAAACGGTGCATTTGTTTACGTTAGCAACTGCTCTTTCCATTCTATTTGAGCGAGTCTATCCCGTCAAGCATCGATTCTCAATTCTAGCCCATCAAGTGACACATTCTTTATTCTTACGCAAAGATTTCAATTCTTTCACTATATATTTCTTACTTAACTAAAAGACAGGCAGGCATAAAGTCATGTAGAACATAAACAAACAAATCATGCATCGAAGTCGCCAGGTGCACAAAATAAAAATATATCACGATTACAATAAAATATACATAAACAAGAATAAATCTAAGTTAAGTGAAAGATGTAGACGAGAAAGAATTATATTACAACGAATTCGATGTGCGATACGGCACTGCATTTAATTAACTTCACGTTAATTAACATTCTAACTTATGTGAAGAAACTTTACTCAACTTTAATACGCCATATTGCTTATATACGATCAGCTGACGCTGTCGTCATAAGTCACATGTAAGGGTATCCTTGATCTTGTGAAGTAATTATTCACTTGTGAATTAATTATCTTCTTCAATCGCTTTACTTGCTTTGTGGAGCCAACAAAAACACTTTCCATAATGGATCCACTTCTCTCCTTCCTTCCTTCCTACCTCCAATCTGACCATGAACCTATCACATTTAAGGTAGTAACATTCGAAGTTTTTTTTATTTTTTATTTAATAATTATGGGCTCTGTGGGATTGAATTGAAACTAGTTTTCTACTAGCACTTGTGTGTTATTATTCACAAAGTACTCATGATATACAGGGTGCGTTCCGAAAGTAATGCGCATGAATATGTAATGCGCTTCCAAGTACGTCTGGTCTCAGGTCGCTCCGAGTAGTAGGAGCGGTAGGACGTATCTTTGCGCAAAGTCTTTTTTTCGATCGAGTCACAGCGTGATGGAGTGTTCGCTAGAATGTGTGCGGTTTGGGAAGAATGCAACGGAAACTCATCACATACTTCAAGACGCCATTAAGGTGAAATGCATTTCGAGATCTCAGTGCGGAAGGTAGAACAAGGCCTTCAAGGAGGTTCGGGAGAAGGTCGCAGACGAGCCTCGTTCTGGACGTCCAACAACAGCCCGAACAGATGAAAACGTCCAGCGTGTGCGTGAAGTTTTGAAGTCAGACCGTCGGTTAAGCATTCAGGGAATCACCAACACCCTGAACTTGTCAAAATGTGTGGTACATGGGATTGTGACGGAGGATTTGCAAATGAGAAAGGTCTGTGCGAAGCTTGTGCCGAAGGTGTTGACGGAGGAGCAAAAACTACCTGACCCAAAGTAAGACCCCATTGGTGCCTCAGCCTCCCTATTACCCTAACTTGGCACCGTGTGACTTTTTTTTGCTCCTTCGACTGAAAAGAGAGCTGAAGGGAAGGCACTGGGAGTCGAAGGATAACATCCAAGTTCATGTTACGAGGTTCCTGAGAGGCATTCCTGGCGAGGAGTTCCTGGGTGCCTTCCAGGCGTGGCAGAATCGTCTCCGCAAGTGTATTGATGCACAAGGGAACAATTTTGTAGAATTTTAACCATTTGTACAAATAGGATCAATAAATCTATTTTTCCCAGAAAATGCGCATTACTTTCAGAACGCACCCTGTATATAGGCAGTCCGATAGTATATATAGAAAAATTTTAAGAAAGTATTATTTAGTCTAAAACGTGCTAAGTCTAGACCATACCCAGCTCTCACGTAAGGATGGACACTTTTGCAATTTTGTAAAAATTTTCGTTATGGTGGGATTTATTCCGTATACAAACGTAATTATTTCACAGAATACCCATATGGATAGTGTTTTCTACACTAGGGAACGCTGCAAGCTCCATATACCTCCTATATTTCCGGGTTACTGCTTCCGGTGTATCTTAAAGCCATTTGGCTCTAAACGTGATCATGGACTGTGTTTTGAGATTCTTGCAAACGTGGTGTTTGATTACTTATTACTTGTGTTTAAAATGCTAACAATACTTGTGTTTACAGTGCTAGCAGTACTTGTATTTACAATGCTAAAAGTGCTAACACTAACGTAAGATGTTGCGCAGCTTGCAACTAGAACAAACAGTAATAAACAAATGGAAGGAGGCCAAATCTGGACTGCCAAAGAAACGAGTTATTCAAAATCTAGCAACCATGCCACCTTTTTAACAATATATATGTATAAATAATAAAAAACAAAGTTTTACTTCAAACTCACCAGAATTACTTAATAACAATAATATTTTATGAAATAAGGCAGATTTGAACTCAATAAAATTATTTAATTTACTTCTTTTATTGAAAACAAAATTATCCGTTTGAAAATATCGCCTCGCAGAATAACTTGTAGTAAGCAGCTGCGAACTTTCTAACTGGTACTAGAGCAGGCATACAGCTCGAGATTGTTATTGTTTACATTTCTACTGAAAACACCATCCATTGTCTTCGTACTTCGTACAAACGAATTTTATAGTTGTGAGCAAGAATGTTTGAATTCGCTTAAAAAATTATCGTGGTATAAGCAGGAAATTAACACTAAAATTAAGATTAAAATTTATCATACCCTTGAGAAATCTAATTTTAAATCTCGGATTTTTTTAAAACTTAATTTCTCAGGAACTATTCAACCGATTTTGCTCATATTTTGTATTTTGGCTTGTAAAATTATGCAAAAATTGTATACCTTAAAATTCAAAAACTTTTCGACCATTTTTAAATAAAATAATAAATATTTACTGAAAGTTATTTTTTGAATGGAATTATCTTCGGATAAACAAGCTTCATAATTGAGGGCAAACATTTTTCAATTCTCCTAAAAAGTTCTCGAGATATAGCGAGATACGCAAAAAGTAAATTTAACATTAAGGAGTCCAAACTTTGGAGCACTTTTCTGACCAGACTATTGGGACCATATTTTCCAGATTGCAGCCACTCCCTATATTTGGGAGGTCAGAAGAGGAGGTCAGAGTCCGTTGAAAAAGAGAAAAAGGTATGTTCATTCAGAGAAAGTACGTTTTTATGGCTGATTTCGTAACTTAAAATATCTTCTGCATTTATTAATTAGCATAATTGAGGTCACCCCTTCGAGCCATTATGATTGAGTTCTAGAATGTGAAGATCCGATCAAAAGGGTGATCCGTTTTGCTTTTGGCGCACTGTACATGACTTCAGTGCTTATTGATACGAACATTTAGGAATTTATTCTTGTTTGTACTCGCTTCCTACAAGTATTCCTGCGAGTATGGCCCATTTAAAGGACATAAAATGGCTCGTCCGACTGGCGTAGATCAGTTAAGTGATTGCTAATGGAATCAATGGATTCCCACAGTGATTATTCTTTGCAATGATCGTTCTCACTGCTTGTGAGAGTCACGTATGGGTATTTAGAGATGCGAAATGGAACCCCATTGGTCAGTTTTTTGCAGTTAAATGTATTCTTACCATTAGATTCACATTTGCGTCACCAAATTCACGCACGCGATTCTTTCATATCCAGTATGAATAATCTCAAGCCATCTATACTTGATGCAGCTCATGCACTTCAGATCGTCGTAGAGAAAAATGAAGATCTTGAGTGGAGAGTTTTTTCTCGGAAAACTTTTTACAAAAATCTGGCTCTCTTTCTCTAATGTCGCTATCAGAATTTCGTGAACCGTATGCAGTGAAAATGATCTTTTAAGCCACATTTGAACCATCTGTGTGAATACGTCCCATTGGTTAGATTTGATCACATGACTATGCAAAAATGAAACTTTAGGACGGTTCTGAATTTTAACTAATTTTTAAATTTCGATTTTAATTTTGACACATAAATAACAGCTTATTTAATATATAAATTAAGACATTTGCATAATTTTCGAGGGCAGGATTAGTGGAAAAGTTAGTTATTCAGGCAAAAAATTAGTTTTTGAGTCAATCGTTGTTGATTAAGAGAGTTATAATTTTTCTTCGAAATTAATTACATTTGTTTCTTCATCATGTTTTCTTGGTACAGTTTTTAATGTATTTGACTCTATCGCTACATTAAAATTATAAAAAATATATATTTTTCATATCCGGAACCTCTGTTACGTCACCATTTACGGAAGTGAAGTAGCCATCGCCCATCTACTGAGGTTGATAATCGTATTGAATTTTTTTTAGGGTTTTTTACTTCTCGTGGGTAAGTTCATATAATTGAAAGCTTTCAGTTTATACAACTCCTTTTTACATATTTCCCTCTCACCGCAATTAAGTTTGTATTCTTATTTTCGAATTAGATGCTGTAATGCTTTCGGCGAATACCGATTATTACAGCTGACTAATAAGCATGAGTGGCACCCTAAAACATTTTTACAATAAAACTGACAGACCTACCGGCCGCGAGTTAAATTACTCTTGTTTGTAATTTTATTGCTTATCCATTATTTGTTGTTAGTTCTAATTTGCGTTTGTAATTGATTATAATATTTCCGTATAAGTACTTGAGTGAGCGAATCTGGGTAAAGCTCAAGAGATAAGCACTGACTAGTGGGCAAAAAGTTTTGTTTGTAATTTCTGCACGAGTGTCAGTTGACTTAAGTTGGTGTTTTCATTAAAAAGTTTTATTATTTTTTATATTATTATGATTTGTTATGCATTAATTATTAATCTATTTTATCTATATCCAAACCACACCTACCTTTTGTAGGAAAATTGTCGACTTAATGTGTTAGGAGTATGCTTCACATATATGCATGAAACTATTAACTGTATTTTTATTTTGATTTCAAATTTTATTCTTATTCTTTTGCTTTTTTAAAATTTAATTTGTTTGACAGAATATTGTTTTACTAAAGCAGTCATGATTAAAAAAAGTTCTAATACCATTTAATTGTAGTTTATAAGACTGGTATACCTTTTATATAGCACATTTTATTAGTTTTCATATTTATATTGTGTTAGTACTTTCAGAAATATTTATAGTTATTATTTTCATTATAATGTCAATTCAGTTACTATCTGGTTTTGTAAATGATTATGCATAATATAGAGCTGTCTTTGCAGCTAGAGGAAAAATGGGCATATGGAAATATAATATGAAAAAACAGAACTCTATTTGCATAAAACAATTTGTGAAAATAAACCTGTGATAAAACTGTCTACGCTTGATATAATTGAAACTTTTTCTAATAACTTTTTAGGTACTGAAAATTAATTTTCACCACGCCCACAATGCGAGAATATAAAATCGTAGTTTTAGGCAGTGGAGGTGTCGGAAAAAGTGCTTTGGTAAGTTTTGTTTTCGTTATATGTGCCAGTTTTTCCTATTGTCAAATTTATTATGAAATACTTTTTTTCCGTAAAGCTTACACTGCTAATGCATTGTTGCTTGTTTTATGTGTGGCGTCATAATAATTAAAAAAATTTGTAGTATCTTGAGTTACTTATATCTATTTTTTTTATTTTCTTTCTGTTTTAAGTTTTTCACTGTAACTGGTAGAAAAAACTTTGCACTGGGTAGCAGCTGTTACCAATTACTGTGATTTCTTTGAGATATCTTTTCATTGCAGATTTTTTTTAAAAGGTGATAAGCACATTGTCCTGAGAAAATAGATATTTCTTTTTTTGTAATGAATGTAAAATTTATTTCCATTCTTTTGAGATAGACTGTAAAGAAACTAATACTAATTAAGGAGAAGATATTCCCATACTTTGATCTGTCACACAAACTACAATCGCCAAGGCGCAAAATAGATCCTAAACTTCTAGAATTTTTAAAAAAATATCTAGAGGTTTGTCCGAGGGTGGTAATTTGTCGTATGGTAGTTTTCTGTGATATTTTTAATTTTATTTTCTCGTTGCCTGATGTTTGAGAATTACCAAGACTGGCAGATCACGATACGGAAATCTTTCTATTACCAAAAAAAAAAATTTAGTGGCTATAGCTTACATTGAAAAACAAACTTCTCATTGTACGTAATACATACTTTTCAATGCTGTTCACTGTATTTTTGCATGTAATGTTTTCATAAGAAATAAAATTTCCCATAAAATATATATTTAAAAATTGAGAATATGATTGGTGCATTAAGAGAGTAAGAGAATCTAACCAGGCTCAATAAATTTCTTAAAATTTTCAATAGTCTTTTTTTAAATTTTGAAATTTTTATTATAGTTTGTTTTTCTGACAGAATCACTTAAGATTCTAATTAAATAATTATTATTTAATAAGGAATTTCACATAAAATCTAAGTACTGCATCATACAAAAGGCAGACTGTGGAGCATTTGTTTGCTTTTCAAAAGCTGAACTAATTTGGGAGTATGCTCTAAAAGCTCTTTTGTAGATTTTACCAATTATTATCATAGGGCTGCATAGTTAGAAACTGTGTATTTGGGTAGGAAGTTTCTTAAATATAGTCTTACTACTTATTTATCTCTATCTTAATCATAAAAAATGAATGTATCTTTAAAAACTCTAGAGGTAAAGTAAAAGCAAATATAGCGAGTAAAAAAATTTAAGTAACATTTTATAAGAAAAGTTCTCAAATAAGAAATAAGTTTGAAAAAAAAAAATTTAAGAGAAATTTTCTTAAATATCAAATTGTCATTATTTTGTTTTAGCATTTTTTAAATGTAGACTGCTTTTATCATTTAATTATACCTCTAATCTTTAANTATAAGTTATTGGTCATCTAATCTGCAGCAACAGAAGTCACACTGATGTTACTTTAAGTTGAATTTCGCGTATAACTGAGACATTGCAAAATGTATTTTTTTTCAATGTAAATAAAGAGATTTGAGTTGATAGTATTTAGTATTATTTTCCCAATAATCACGAAGTCAAAATTATTTGACGGCACGTCTATGACCTCACTAAGCAATTTTTTTAGTTGAAAATGGCGCGTTGGTGTATAAAGGTTCGCCACCCCTGGAATAGCATTTATTGAAAAAAAAAAAGGCTTTATCTTTATTCCTAATTTATTTTAGAACTGACTTGTTATGTGTCCTCACTTAATATTTTTTTCTAAATGTTTTACCCGCCAACATTGGCAATAATGTCTGCCTAAGGGAGTAACTGTATGTTTTCAGTGTTTATTATTGTATCTTTTTTGTGATATGTCTATTTAGCGCCATTCAATAATAGTATGTGTGATTATTTTTATGAAACTTGCAGCAGAGTCTTTTAACTGTTGTTAAGGAGTTAAAATTTGATATAGATCTGTACTTTTTATTTATGAAATGGATGATTTATGCTTAGAAAATACTGTTTTTACAAGTGAGCTTTGAATATATTAGGGTTGTATTTTTTGACATTTGACAATAGTTGAGCCAAAAGTGTTTGACGAGAGGAAAATATCACTAAATTTTGTTTGCTAGCGCTTAAAAAAAATCAGTTCTTTTATTTTTATCTCCGAAGTTTGTTTTCAACTGTCCTGTCTTTCCAACTTTTAACTAAACAAATAATGTATTAACTGAAGGCTATTTTTAAGAATTATTATAAATTTTTTTTTTATGAATGTTTCGAGATATTTTTATGTATTGTGGTAATTTTATTTGACTATATTCAGCTGTTTTCTCTGAATGAGGAACTTTGAAAATCTGTTTTGAACTTGTAATTTTTAAATTAAGCAATAAAATAACTTGTGGATTAGTTTTATATTGTTAATAATATGAAAATTTATAAAAATTAAATAGTCTAGTACGGTGCTTGGCTTAAGGTTGCAGGCGAATTTAGATTTATAAGGGGGGTGTTGCAGATTTATTTAAATTCTGCTACCAGGATAGCATATTAGGATATAGTGAGGCTGAAATGTGAGGCCTTATTCTTTTTCTTGAAGCGTAATGAACACAGTTTGATGTTTCTGTTTCCACTGCTTTATTGAATATTCATAAATCTGTTATCCTTTACGGATTATAAATTGTTTTTTGTAAAAATAAATAAGGAGATAAAATATTGAGAATTGTTTTTTGGTAAGTGGAGAAAAATATTTGAGGTAATAACAAAAGATAAATAGCGAAATGTAAGTTAGAATATTAGATTCCAATGTTCCCCTATGTGGTGGTTTGCATAGTGGTAATTTTTTTGACTGATTCGTAGTTAAAAATATTTTATTGGTTTTTAATAATTATTTAAGCAGACAATGATTAGGAGACAATGATTTGGAGTTTTTCATTATTTTCTTATCTACGTATAATTTAAAAAACAGGAACTGTGATAAATTTTGCTCTTAAGCAAAAAATCTAAGTTTTCAAAAATTAACACTAAACAGAGGGACAAAACCAAGAAGCCTGCTTTATTATGCCTATTGGAAATGCTTTTTATCAACATTGTCCAAAACTGCAGAAATCAAATTCAGACCTTTGAGAACATTTATTTTTGCTTTCAAAGCATCTGTAAGGTTGCTGGACTCGAGAAAAAAAAATTCCTAACCAGATGTATTATTTAATGTTCTTTAAGTGATTGGATTATTCAAAAATAAGTTTGCTAAAAAAACTATTTGCACTCTTTATTTTAAGTTGACACAATCCCTTCACTAGTGTATGCTCGGTCCTGTGGTTTGCCCATCCTTTCTGATTTCGACTCTGGAAAAGGAACCTTATCACACAGAAGATGAATCAGAAAGAGTAAAGAATGTCTTCAAACAGCTTAGAGAAAAAGCCACTCTTTTTTTTTTAAAAAAAAAAAAAAAAAAAAAAAAAGCTTTGTAGAGAAAAAATACATAGCTGCCAACTCTGTTGGATTTTGCCAGTTTCACCTAGTCTCCTGATTCAATAAAATTCTCCTGTTTTTTTTTTTACATTTTAGAAAATTCCCTAAAATTGAGTAAGTTTTCTAAAAAATCGCTATCGAAATAAAATTTTTGCACAGATTATTGCTTGCTTGAATATTTAAATAAGTATTGGTGATATATAATGAAGCAAGCCTCATTAGATAATTTTACAAACTGATAAATTTTAGAATATTTCCACAGTGTTGAAGATCAACAGATTTCTGCTTCTAGTGATGTTTTTAGTTTTAAACTATTTCTATATGTTTTTGTCAATATCGAGGAGAGAATTACTTTGAGGGAATGTTTTCTACAAAATAGTTGTTTATGTGAGTGTATCATAAGATTCGTTCAATTACAATTGAAGATATGATTTGTTAATGACCCNTTTTCTTGAAGCGTAATGAACACAGTTTGATGTTTCTGTTTCCACTGCTTTATTCAATATTCATAAATCTGTTATCCTTTACGGATTATAAATTGTTTTTTGTAAAAATAAATATGCAGATGAAATATTGAGAATTGTTTTTTGGTAAATGAAGAAAAATATTTGAGGTAATAACAGAAGATAAATAGGAAAATGTAAGAATATTAGATTCCAATAATCCCCTATGTGGTGGTTTGCATAGTGGTAATTTTTTCGTAGTTAAAAATATTTTATTGGTTTTTAATAATTATTTAAGCAGACAATGATTAGGAGACAAACAATAATTTGGAGTTTTTTTATTTTCTTATCTACGTATAATTCAAAAAACATGAACTGTGATAAATTTTGCTCCTCCAAGCAAAAAATCTTAAGTTTTCAAAAATTCAAACTAAACAGAGGGATTATTAAAAAACCAAGAAGCCTGCTTTATTAAACCTATTGGAAATGCTTTTTATCAACATTGTCCAAAACTGCAGAAATCAAATTCAGAGCTTTGAGAACATTTATTTTTGCTTTAGAAGCATCTGGAAGGTTGCTGGACTTAAGAAAACAAAATTTCCTAACCAGATGTATTATTTAATGTTCTTTAAGTGATTGGATTATTCAAAAATAAGTTTGCTAAAAAAACTATTTTCACTCTTTATTTTAAGTTAACACAATCCCTTCACTAGTGTATGCTCCGTCCTGTGGTTTGCCCATCCTTTCTGATTTCGACTCTGGGAAATTTACCTTATCACACAGAAGATGAATCAGAAAGAGTAAAGAATGTCTTCAAACAGGTTAGAGAAAAAGCCACTCCTTTAAAAAAAAAAAAAAAAGCTTTGTGGAGAAAAAATACATAGCTGCCAACTCTGTTGGATTTTGCCAGTTTCTTCTAGTCTCCTGATTCAATAAAAATTCTCCTGTTTTTTTTTTTTACATTTTAGAAAATTCCCTAAAATTGAGTAAGTCTCCTAAAAAATTGCTATCGAAATAAAATTTTTGCACAGATTATTGCTTGCTTGAATATTTAAATAAGTGTTGGTGATATATAATGAAGCGAGCCTCATTAGATAATTTTACAAATAGATGAATTTTAGAATATTTCATGGTGTTGAAGATCAACAGGTTTCTGCTTCTAGCGATGTTTTTAGTTTTAAACTATTTTTATATGTTTTTGCCAATATCGAGGAGAGAATTGCTTTGAAGGAATTTTTTCTACAAAATTGTTTATTTGGGTGTATCATAAGATTCGTTCAATTACAATTGAAGATATGATTTGTTAATGACCCATTTTTTAAGATTTAAATTTTATGAAAATTCTTTCAAAATATGTTAGAAACTCCAAAATTAAGCTGATTAGTAAGGTCTTAAAATTTGCAAAGGTATGTGGTTTAATGACAGAAAAGGCAATAAATATTAAGCTAGGTTATTTTTTAATGGGCCTAAAAATTGAGTGTAAAGTTGAATCTGTATACTTGTTAAAAAATAAGATTCATAATTATAGCAATAGACAATATCTGTTTTTCTAAGTGTGTGCTGTTAAATTGCCTATAAAATAATCAAATTTGCATTATTATATGAAGTGTACACAAAATTCCTGATTTTTTATTTATTTATTTAAAACTAGTATTTTTTTAACAAATAAGGCAAAACTAATGCTTTTTTAAGACTTTTGAAACTTTAAATCACAAGGGACTATTTAGTTGCATATAATCACACCAAGATAATGAATTTTTGTTTATTAATAATTAAAAATTTTAATTTTCTAGACAGTGCAGTTCGTACAAGGCATATTTGTAGAAAAGTATGATCCAACTATAGAAGATAGCTATCGTAAGGTGAGAAAATATATTTAAATTTTTTAATTGAACTTATTTCTGTCATTTTATAAATTGTTTGCTTTAGGTCAATAGGTTTGGTATTTTATATTTCCAAGATAAGGATTTGTATAAAATTGTGAATATATAGATTAATTAGATTGTAAAATTTTTTCCCACTAGAAATAGGAATTTGAATGAATTTCTGGTTTTTCGTGTCATTCTTCCGGGTCTAAAAACTAGAAGCAGGACAATCAATTTTTGCTCGAATATTGCAGTATTCTGCGTATCTCTAGAACACTGGTGGTTCTCAGACTTCCGTGAATTAAGACCTATTTAAGATCTATCAAGAATTTTAAGACCTATAACCTGACGAAATTTTGAAGCTTTTTCTAAATCCTGTTAATGAGACATTTACATACATTCTTTCGCCAATTATGTGAAGAACTAATCTAACATGATTCTTTTTGTTTAGCTTCTTTTTCCCATTTTGAATATTTGGAACTGTGCCAACTCTACTAATATTGTGGTTCTTATTCACACTATTTTAATATCAATAACTTTTTGTATTTATCTGATTTAAAAACTACGCTTTGCAATTAGTATTCACACAATTTAAAAATCCAATATCACGATTTGTATTTACGCATTTTTAAAACCAAATATCACTATTTGCGTTAATTTGTTTGTAATATCAAACATAAATTTTCGCATTTATATATGGCATTGTGAATCGTATTCATGCAATCTAAGAATTATGCAGAGTAGAATTATTTGCTCGATTTAAAAAAATTCAATATTGCAATTTATACATTCACTTTTTTATAATTCAATATCTCGATTCATATTCACACGATTTTAAAATGCAATATCTTTATTTTTGTAAAAAGTAGGTTTTTTCTTGAATTAGTTACTTTGAAGGTGTGATAGTTTGCTGTGAAGCTACTGTACTCTTTTTTTGTAATATGTTATTTTATCTAAGTAAAGTACTAAATAGTGTAATAAAAAAATGCTGAAGAAATTAGTTCAATGGCTATTAATTTTGAAGTAGGTAAAGCAATAATTAGTGCTATTAATTATTTGAATCTGTTAGGTGAAAATCTCACGCAAGACAATCGGAAGAATGTCAATGCGGCAGATAATTTTAGATTTTATTTAGTCATTATGACTTATAACTAATTATTTCTTTTGTAACATATTGACCTGAAATGCATATACACACATGTTTAAAATTAAAAGAATGTGTGTTACTTCAATGAATATCATTTTGTTCTGTATTTGTCTATGTAATTGATTAAAAATATTTAATAATTTTCAAGCATTTATTCTAAATTGCCTCAGAAAGTTTTTAAGCAAACACTTTCATTCAGTGTTTCAAGTCTAAGAAATTTTCTCAATCTCATTTATGAATCCTTTAAAATATCTTCCAGAATTTCTTATCTTAATTAAATATTAAATTCTGTCAAATTGCCTTGTATTTTATTCTTTTTATTTTAAATATAGAATTTTTACATGTTTTTTTTTCATGTTTCTACTATAGCAAGTAGAAGTAGATGGACAACAGTGCATGCTAGAAATTTTGGATACTGCTGGCACAGTGAGTGTTTTTCAGTATTTATTATTTATTTTTAATGTTTCTTGTGGTGAGATTTTCTCACATATATAATTTCTATTAGTAATATATTTTTTTTATAAAAGTTTGTTTTCCAAGCTGTAAGACTATCTTGTGTAGTCTATATTACTTATTATATTTTATATGTGTACTGAGTTCTCCCTGAGAATAAAGCAGGACAAGATACTTCTTCTCTGACTTTGAGTTTTGAAAGGGTAACATCGTAAATATTTATCAAAATGTGTAATAACTGAATTTTATCTTCAATTTCTAAATTATCCTCTCATACTATTTTATGAGTATAATTCAAAAAGTAATTCTCTCTAATTTGTAGCTCTAGAAAAATTTGTAGCAAATAAATATAACTAAAGGCAATCTATATGAATATTTTTTTCAGAAGGTATAACAAAAAATTATTAATTAATAAACAACTTGGAAAGTTTATTTCTATAATTGAAACTGAAAATTATAAGAAAATGAACATTTAAAGGTGGATTTTTTTAAGAAAAATTATTTATTTAAAAAATAGTTTTAAAATTTAAAATCATTATTAATACAGTCAGACCTCGATGTAAGGTAACCCTAAGGGGCATCACAAAATTGACCTTATAAGCGGGGTGACCTTTTAACCGATTCATTGGCAGTTCGTAACTAAGCACGTAAATAGTACACATTATGACTTTATAAAAATGGCAATGCAAACAAAAACGATCGGCCATAAATTAAATATTTAAGTCCATAAATTTTAACAGAATTAGTGAAGAATTAAAGAAAGTTAAATTTTTAAAATTTTTTTTAGTTTAAAATAAAGCTTTTTACAAATTTTCTCAAAGTGTGTATACAAATATTACATCTTACCTTATTTAAAATAATCATTTATGCAGGTCTGTCTTGTTTTTGGTTTAATTTTTTGAACAATGTTCTCTAGATTTTGTAACTTCGCAAAATGTTCCTCAGCTCCCTCATGGTTTGCAAAAAAATTTCGTATGACATTTATTGCATTGAAGGCTTCCGCTTGGGTTACAGCTATAGTCTCAGGATCGCTGTCATTGTCCTCACTGTCCACAACTTGTGAAACAATTTCAGAAATTGTAGCTTGTTCGCTTCCTTCGCCTCAGATAAAAAAGACCTTATAAGCGATAACAATTTTTAAAACTTGACCATATATCCGATAATCTGTAATCAGTGAGCCGGGACTTTGGAAAAGTGACCTTATATCGAGGTCTGACTGTATATATTAATGACCACCCGAAGAAAGATACTTATAAAAATGTAACCAGTTTATAATAATTCTAACAAAATAAATATTTGTAATAGTAATCAGAATTAAACCCAGAAACACAGATAATTCATGTGTATTAGTCACAAATTGTGATTTAAGCAAGTAAGGTACTAGGAGCTCTGCTAGACATATTTGTTTTGGATTTGCTGCTAGTTTTTTTTATTTCTTTTTCACAAGAGCTCCAACGCTCTTCTTACACCAAGTAGATTGTTTGAATTGATTCTGAGGAGCCTCGTTATCTAAAGTGAATTTTGATAAAATTTTCATAAATGGGATTTTTTACTAACGAAAATTAACATAGCTTTTGATTGGCTACCAAATTATTCAATTGTTGCTCCGAATATTATATCCCATGTATTAAATATTTCGTAAATAACTTTATCTACTATTATATACTTTGAATAATATTAGACTGAAATAAAATATAGACAATATACTTAATCTTTTTCATATGGTACTTTTTTTTTTGTTTTTGTTTCAGAAGGTTTTGATTAATATGAGCTGCATTTTCAAGATATTGATATGATGCTAATAAAATTGTCATTACTTAATTATTTTAAGAGCTTGATTTTTTAGCTTTTTTTTTAAAATACAGAATTTACATGGATAATGGTGAAATTTCTCATTAATTTTTTTAAATTTTTTTAGTGTATGGTGTTATAAAACAGCATTTAAAAAAAAATTCATTAAAAAGTATATATAATTAATCAAATTGACTGCACAACAATATTTTTATATTACAACGTCTCAAAGTGTAACATTTCAGTAATTGTTTTTTTACAAAATAAAGTTATTAAAAGTGTCAAGATACTTGTCATCACTAGATATGCAACAATTCATTTGATTCATGCTCAAATTGATCAATTTTAACATCAGAACGCTTTTGTCATTGGTATCTAACAAAAGCGGCCAACAACACTTGTTTTAGATAATGTTTGCATCATTCGCATTTCAATTGGCTTATAAGAGTTTTTTAAAACTACAGTAGATTCCTGATTATCTGCGGAATTGAGTGGCCCATGAAGAGCAGATAAGCTAATTCTCAGATAATCCACAAAACCCTTAAAAAAGACACCCATCAATTAAAAAAAATATATATAAATGATAAATTAAATTACATTTCAATTTCAAAATCTATTTCAATATCAATAGCAGTTTTCTTCATATTTTCTGTTTATACATTTTTTAAAATTTCTGTGTGAAAAATGTTGGTGTTAGAGAGCAGGAAGCTAAAATAGAACAGGCACAAGCAGACTTTTAACTTGAGAGTTCATACACTATTGAAAAAGAAACGCGCAAGGCAATGTTCAAACCAGGTGAATTAGTTCTTATCAAGAGTTACTGCACATACAAGATTTTTAGAAACTTTAAACAGTAACAAAGCTTAAAATAAACAGACTACAACTCTGAAATCATGCATATGTCACATAAATTATTCAAGGCTCTGGTTTATTCTTTTATGGGTATAAGTGTCATGTGGGGTCCACCCTCATTTCTTATTTATCAATTTTATAACTGATAAAAGTTCCAAAAACGTGTTGCATGCCCCGTGGCAGAATTGTTTTGGGCTTTCTGCGACAAACGTCTCTAGCACTGATATCTTTCTGCAAGTTGCTTTTAATAATAACAAATTTACATGCTACTAATTTAAAGTAACAGAAATGTTGTTTACAAAAAGAAACCTATTTGGATAAAATAGAATTGTATAGAATTTTTTTTAATAAATATGTAATATTTTTTTCTTTCATTCTTGTATCATGGACGATATTCTCACATTTTGTAAGGGAAAAACACTCTCCTTTTTTGGCGTCCGTGAATCATCGCATAAAAAAAAAACTTTAAAAATCGTGAAATTCGTAGCAATAAAAACCCGAAAAAGATAAAGGACAAAATCATGTGAATCGGACTCTTAAAAAGGAGGTAACAAATGTAATGGGGTTAAATAATGTATTAAAAATATAGGATTCAAAAAACTGTGTGAAAATAAATGACCCCCTTCCCTCCTCTCTTAAGTAAAACTCTTAAAATAGTTCCATCTCTTTGAATTAATTTCAATTCTAAATGCTATATTTATCATTGAAAAAAAAGGTGAAGCTTGGATGATCTGCAAATCGGATGATCGGGACTTTACTGCACACAGTTTTTGCAATAACCGAAAATATTATCTTAATCTCTCTTGAAAACTATGTTAATATTCAGAGATACCATAAAATAATGATTAAGAGTCCTTCAAATTTTGCCGGATGGGGCTAATTAATAAGACCAAAGGACTAAATATTATTGAACTTGATTATATAAATAAATAATTTTGATAGTTTCATTTTTTTCTGAATAATGTTCTGCATTTGCTTCATCAACTCTTTATTTTGCTTAGTACTTTATTTGTTACTACTTTATTTGTTAATACTTAATACTTTGTTAAAAATGCTTAATGTTTCTGATTTATTCTAAAAACAAAAGTACTGCTTTAAAGTTGAAATCATTTTTAAGAGATTTATAATAGGTTCATAAAATTTTTTGTTGTAAAAAGCAATAAATTTTTTTTAAGGCATGTAATACTTTATTTCAGCAGATAAAAATGTTGAGATTTTTTGAGCTCTGCTATACATGTGTTAATAAAATCTCTTAATTTCTATTTAATCTTGCCATATAGTTTTGTTTCCTTTTGGACTGTATTTTCCTTCCTAATCTTATATTAATCATCTCACTGACACCAAAAACTTGAGATTCCTAACCAATATTGGACTAATGAGATTATATTTATGCATATCTCTTTTGAATTTTTAAAATTTTCTTATGGATTAAATACAAAGTAATCAAGGAAGAAACCCTTATACAGAATTAGACTTCATATGTACTTAATGTAATTATATAAATTTAAAATAAAATATTGGCATGGAGAGTATTTGAATTTTTAAAAACATAAGTTTTAGTATTGTGTATTAACATTATCTAATTTTCTTAAAGATATTTTATAGTATAATTTCTCTATTGTTTTTTTATCTTTAATAAGTTAGCTCTTTACATTTTTAAGTTTTAATTGCTTTAATACACATGAATAATAAATAACATTAATTGCTTTCAAATTTAGATTTAGTTATCTGTGTTCAATTTTTTTACTATAACAGAATTTTATAGATTTATTTTGGTACTAAAAAGGTGTTATTTTTCAGGAACAATTCACTGCCATGCGCGATCTTTATATGAAAAATGGCCAAGGGTTTGTTCTTGTATATTCCATAACAGCTCAATCCACATTCAATGATTTGCAAGATTTAAGGGAACAAATATTAAGAGTCAAGGACACAGATGATGTAAGTTGAAGATTTTTTATTCATGAGTTAGTCAGAATGATTTAAAAACGTCCTATGGACTTAATATTTGTTACATATAGGCAATGCATCTTGAAGTTACTCTTGAGCTCAGGCTGTAAAATTTCTATTAATTTATTGCATTCATAATTAGTTAGGTCCAATATTCCCTTTTCAATTTTACAAATAGGCCTTATATTTTAATAGTGTTCTTATTTGTTCTGTGTTTGCTATAAAATTTTCTTTTTTGTTTGCAAAATACTGATTATTTTAAGTGCTTTGAAGTTTTGCTATAAATTTAGATATTAAGCTGGTCTCAATCTGTTTAAATAACATATAAAATATAAATAAAATACATAAAATGTAAATAAAATATATAAAATAAAAATAAAATATGTAAAATAAAAATATAAAATAAAAATAAAATATATGAAATAAAAATAAAATATATAATAAGTTCATCAGTAAGTAACAAGGAAACTTATACTGGATGCATACAAATAGATTTTATAATCCATGTGAATTTCACTCAGAAATTTGTAAGTAAATGTTGCATCACATAATTTTTTTTTTTCTAACATAAAACTTTTCACAATTTATAATATTTCTGAAAAATACCTAAGAAAATTTCTTCTTTAGGTGAAAATAACTTAGTCTAAAAATTTTACAAATAATACTTTGCTGAATATTTGGCCAAATATTCAGCCGGATATTTGGCAAAAGGGCTGAATATTTGTTCTATCCTTATTTAGGGCTCCCTAAACTCTAAAAAGCAGGAAAAATTGCAATTTTTTACAAAAAACCTGGAAAATTCTTATCATACCTGGAAAATAATGAGTCTCAGAATTGTCAGTAACTGTAATAAGTTATTGATATTCAAGTTATATAATTCTAACATCTATTACAATTATTTTATGAAATTCCACTTCATTCTCATTCTATTATGTTTTTGCTCACAATATCTAATGTTTGATGAATGTTAATGTTAATATCAAATGTTTTTTGAGGAAAAATTGTATGACATGGATAAAAAAATGGGATGGATTTTCATTGAAATTTACCTGCCTGGAAAAGTTGGAATTTTTTTTTCTGAAATTAAGTGTGAACCCTGTTACTTTTTATAACCTATTGTAGCATTATTTAACCTTTGGCAGGTTTCTGCAATTGAGCCTTTTAACGTAAATTTAAGTAAACTCTCATTTTGATAGGTAGTTATGTAATGTTATGTATTTTATCAGATTTAATTTTTTTCTAAAAAATAATTTAATTTAAAATACATTTGATTTGCAGGTACCTATGATTTTAGTGGGCAACAAATGTGACTTGGAAGATGAACGTGTGGTTGGTAAAGATCAAGGTGCTAACCTAGCAAGGTCGTTTAATAACTGTGCTTTCTTGGAATCATCTGCTAAAGCCAAGATTAATGTCAGTGAGGTATGTGTTAATTATGGGTAACAGATGTTTTTTAAAAAAATAGTGAGGTATGTGTTAATTATTAGTAAGATATTAAAAAGCTGAATGATAATTTAATTTTTCATTTGAGACTTGATATGTGTTTTGAACTTGGTAAAAGAAAGCTTCATTGACTCGCATGCTTTTCTCAGTTCTTTTAAATAAGTGGATCTAAGATTTCTTATTGTTTATTGATAGATTGTTGATCATTGATTTTTTTTCTGATTTTTAACAATAACCCACGTTATTTAGTTTATTTCTGAAAGCTTTTTTGTCCTCTTACTATTGAAATTTGTTTCTTCACTTATTCATAAGTTTCAGTTTTTTTTTTTTTTCGAAAAAGAATTTTCTGCATACTGTTTCTATTTTATCCATTTTTCTATTTCCTTATGCAGGGCTGATTGTGCTCCGGAAAAAATCCGGATTTCTGGATTTTTCGCTAACAGTGATCCGGAAGTTTCCGGAGATCGAAGGTCCAGACTTTTAAAAAAATTATTGATCACAGAATTTCCGGAAATCAAATTTTCAAAGGTGGAAACACAGTTTATTTGTTTGTAAGGGAGAGCCAGATACTTTATAAGCTTATATTCATGATTAATATTTATTTTTTTATCAGTAAATAATTATTATAATCATAAACTCAAGAAAGAAAGACATATTTGTAAATTTTAATTACTTCTCCAGGTCATCATAGGTATGTGTAAATGGTATAGGTATGTGTAACTCAAGAAATTTTCCGGAATTTTGACTTGGGCTCACAATCACCCCTGCTTATGGTTAATGATTGAAATGAAATCCTGAATGAAAACAACTCTCAGAAAACTTATTTAAATCAGTATTCTTGGTGTTTGGGCTTCAGGAAAATTTTTACGACATTTTATTAAGTTATTAGGTGAAAAATTAAGTTATTAAGTGTTAAAATGTAATGTTTTCAATCTTAGAAGATGTTACAGTTAAATCTAGTTTTGTCTACTTTATATTATGCTTCATTTTCTCGGGTTAACTTTGAAATGTTCCAAATCAAAAAGATAAACATAAGTTTTTTTTTGTAAGACTTTTTATTCTTATTTTTTACTTTTAAAAAATTATGAGTTGTGAAATATTTCTTCATGCTGTGGATACTGGCATATGATAAGATATCTATGTATTTTAGGAGTACTAAGTTTTATTTGCCCTACTTCCAGTTCTTTAATTCTGAGTGATTATTGAGAAATTTTCTAAATTTAAATGTTGGTTGATCTAGAAATCTAGTAGTTGGTTGATCTAGTTTACAAGAGCCACCACAAATGTATATAATTGTGCACCTAGCTCCAAAGGAAAATCTATTGGCTTGTAACTAATAAAATAGTTGCTATTTTTCTAATGAGAAATGTAAAGTTGTTTCATAACTTTCAAATTTTGCATTCATTATATTTTCTGGAAAACTTTTTGATAATTATGTTTAAGTCTTACGTTAAAAATAGTAGGAAATTTTTATTACAAAAAAAAGTTTATCTTCAGTTTTGATGTACAAATGTTTCGCTATTTTTAATTTATGAACATTGAGCAAAAATATCACCTTTTCATTGTAATGATCAGATTTTTATGTACAGGGATGAGATAGGGCAAAAAAGCTGAATTTCCAGTGAGTAAATTCTACGCATGTGCAATTGTTTAATAATAAATTGCTGGCAATTTAAGATAATAAATAACTATGTATTGACATAAAATTGTGTACTAATTTAATAATAAATGACTGATTACATCAATACTTAACATTTAGTAAAAAGTAAAATTAACAATTGAAAAAATTAAGCTAGAAATTATATGTTTGTTCAGTTCACATAAAGGAGACAATTATTACTTGAACTGCCTGATTTAGCAAATAAAAACTTCTGAGAACATACATTGAACGTCCCTTTCTTTTAATAAATACTGTTACGTGATTTATAACAAATATATCAGAAACATGACTTTTTAAATTATTTAGAAAAGAAAATAAACTTTTACAATTAGAATTACTATGTTCATATAATCTGATCTAACTAGAGCCCTGTGAAACAAGTCAATAACTGTGAAGTAGAAACATATAGTAACTCCTTAACATACAAAAATTGCTATTTTAGTTTGAAAAAATAACATATAATCAGAAACTGTTTATATAATTATTTTTCATATGATAAAAATTTCGCATTTTATACCATAAATAACAGCAGCATTGTTTTTTTAATTTTTGATTTTGGTGCTGAGTTAATAAACTTTTTTTTCCACAAAAAATTGAATCACTTTGTAAGTGATTGCTTTTGTTTGCTATATCTTTTTTTAAAATTTTTGTTTTATTTGCTGCAAATGCTTCATGTTTTACAAAACAAGCAAAAAAATCCTTTAACAAGGTCAAATTGCTTGTAATGCAGCTTGTGAATGAGGGGAAACAGATTGGTGAGTAATTAAGTCGTTAGCCCAACTTCAAACATCTTTTGACAAATCTTATTTTTTCTTTCTTTACCTGCCTTTGTCACATTCTTCTTAACAAGCACAGCATGTAAGTTTTGAATATGCCTACATATAATAATAATTGTCGATAGAAAAAGTCACATTTATAGTGACTAATTAAAGAAAAGCTTACTATTACAAGAATCATGATAATTGATTTTATTCGCGATAATCACGTAAATACAAATAGCGATCTTGGATTTTAAAATCGCTTGAATATGAATCGCGATAATGGATTTTAAAACCACATGAATATAAAACTCTATATTTGATTTTAAAAATGAAAAAATATAAATTACGCCATAAAATTTTTAAATCTAGTAGATACAAGTCATGATGCATAATTTTTAGATTGCGTGAATGTGAATCCCAATGTCTTATATTAAAATCACATATAAATACGAAAATCAAAGTTTGATATTATGACCGCATGAACAAATCACGACATTGGATTTTAAACTCACATGAATACGAATCGCTACATAGAGTTTTTAAAAACGTGTAAATACAAATTGTGTTATTGGATTTTTAAGTCTTGTAAATAAGAATCGAAATGTTATCAAATTCCGGGCTTGTAAAAGGCTCGTTTGAAGCAACGACGTCTGAATTATGAAAATACGAACTATCTGGCGGGCGGGTAAAAATGCGGAAAATCTTATCTTCTCCGCATAAACGCGGAGAAAATAGCTAAAATAAGTAACAATGTGGAAGGATTGTCAGCTATGTAGTTTGAATTTTCTGTTCATATTTGAAAATCAGAAATAAATATTATTTTATTTCAACGGCTGATTTTTTCGAAAAAGTAGGATATTTATAAAAAAAAGTGCAACTTTGAGATAATTGGAGTTTTCGATAAAAAGACTGAAATTCGAGAGGCAAAAGTAAAAAAAGCGGAAATTTGCTAACAAGCGGAAAAATGTCATCCTTGTTATGTAATAACTGTTATTACTAATCTTAATGCTTGAGTTCTAAGGGTTGACTGTTAGTTACTATTCTATTTAATGAGTATTATGTAATTAAGTTAAGAATCAAACACAAAAGCATACTTTAATAAACATACCTTTTTCCTCAATTAGTTTGGAATTCCGACTATCTAAATATGAGAGAAGCCCTATAGTCGAGAGCAGTCAGAAATTTAGCTCCCTTAATGTTAGCAGGGCTGATTGTGCTCCGGAAAAAATCTGGATTTCCGGAATTTTCTCTAACAGTGATCCAGAAGTTTCCGGAGATCGAAGGTCCAGACGTTTAAAAAAATCATTGATCACAGAAGTTTCCGGAATTAAAATTTTCAAAGGTGGAACTTCAAAACACAGTTTATTTTATTTGTTTGCAAGGGAGAGGCAGAGAGATACTTTATAAGCTTATATTCATGATTAATATTAATTTTTTATCAGTAAATAGTTGTTATCATCATAAACTCAAGAAAGAAAGACATATTTGTAAATTTTAATTACTTCTCCAGGTCATCATAGGTATGTGTAAAGCTTTAAATATATTTTAAGTACCTAAACTAAGAAATATTGAGAGAACCTTGTTTAAATTTTTTTCAATTAAAATTTTTTTTTAAGTCAAGAAATTTTTCGGAATTTTGACTTGGGCTCACAATTACTCCTGTGTTAGTGTCTTTTTTTTTCTTGAGTACTTCATAATGTCTCGTAAACTTATTTACCGAATCAGAAAAATTTTGCTCACAGTTGTAAGATTCATTTGTCAGAAGATTTAAAAAATATTTATTTTAAAATTTTTTTTCTCACTGGATGTAATAGTTTATAAGTGAACGTAGTTATAGTTACCTAGGGCTTACATTAGTTTAAAAATGTATTAAGTAAAGGTTTCATAAAGTAATTGTGACAGAATTTCATATTATATTTTCATTACCAGTAAAAAAGCTAACTTTTTTTATTGATTTTGGTATTGTTTTGTAATAGTTCATCCGTTTGTTGCATTTTGATTATATCCAGTTAAGTTGTAATTTGTTTTCAACTTGTTATTGTTTTAAATATCTATGTGCAGTGTTTTTAAATTCATAATTTTTGTTAATGTGTTTTACATTCTTTCTAAGAATAAATTTTTTCTAGATTTTTTATGATCTTGTCCGGCAAATCAATAGAAAAAACCCTGAAAAAAAGCCGCATTTAAAAAAGAAAAAGACATGTTCAATTTTGTAAATATGTAAGTATTTTTCTATTTTAACAAATTTGTACTAAATCGCCATTACGTTTTACTTGTAATTTTACAATAAATTTGCATTATTTATGTAATTTGTATTATATCAATTATAATCTCCAGTAAATTTTTCTTTATTATAATGTTATTTCATTAATAAATAAAACCAAAAGTTGTCTTTAATTATAAAGTTTCCAAGCATAGTTGTGTGATAAAATTTGTTTTCTTATATTAATTGGCAAAAATTTTTAAAAAAATGTTCTATCCACCATGACTATTAACAATTAGTCCTTACTAAATGGTGGTAGCAATGTGGTCAACATCACATGATGTCCTTCTTTACTTCCAATACTTAATTGCTTTAAATATTTTGAATTCTTTTCTTAACTTGTGGAGAGCTTCTTGTTTCACGAATGTACAATGATATTCTGCTTCTCTGTACCAAAAAGGTTAAGTAAAATTTTTTAGTTATAGTTGCTAGCTATGCAAAGCTTCTAATTATTTCATTGCTAATAATATTTTGTAAAATAAATGTCTGCTCTAGCATAATGCATACTATTTTCTGCGCAATGCATTCCGCAATCTTATATGGTTTGCTTCGTTCGCTACTAACTTAGATACATTGCAAATGCACAAAATTCTAAGAATTCAAAACAATCATTCAAATCCATATAACAACTTTTTTTTGAAAAAAAATTACATCTTTTTAGTAAATACTAAGTCATTAAAATAAATTTGAATTCAAATAAATGACATGTAATTCGTTAAACTTATGAGAAATGTGCTATAGTATAAAATCTTAAGATAAAATTTCTAAAACTGATATCTCTTTAAAAAGGTTAAAATTTTGGCTATAATTAAGTCTATTAAAAATTAAAATAAGTGAATTTTAATAGAAAACCTGCATAAACAAAAAAATTCTAGTAAAAAAAATAAATTCGTGATATAAATCAAAAATCGTCAATTAAATTCGTAATATATAAATTCGTGGAAAAAAAAGCGCTTTCGACAAAATACTAAAATAGAGATCTATCGACAAAGACTATCACTTCTGCCTTGCTTATGCTCTCTCTGGTTATTTCAGTTTCCGTTTTTAAAAGCACTATATGTTGAGCCATTTCAGCTAGATTTGGCATGTGACATTTTTAGCTGCAATCATTGGTCGATTTTCTAGCGTTGCCATTTGGGAAGTTGTAATGAGGCTTTTTTTTTATCGCCGTGTAAGAGAAATATATATATAGATTGAAGTGTCGTGACATAAGAGCGGACATGACATTGTGAGAGTGAACAAACATAATCACTATAACATAATAACACTATCACCTAACTATCACATAAAACATAATAACTATGACTCAAAGTTGCAATTTCTTCAGGAAGTAACAGATTTCTTCCCGGCACTAAAAAAAAAAACTCGAAACTGGACTAATTTGAAATAAAAGTATTTAACTACGATATAATTTTTATGATTGTTTAATTATAAAAATGTCTAATAAAATTATTAAATGATAATCCAAATGCAAAAGAAATAAAATTAAACACATTATAAAAGGTAAAAAGAATTTAATTTTTTTAAAAATAAAGCAATTTTCATATTTTAGTTATATACTAAATGTTAAAATCTACTTTAAAACTACTATTTTAAATACTACTACCTTTTAAAATGATTTCTTTGAATTTTGATCTATGTTTCTTATTTTCCTAAATAAATATGTACTCTCACAATTATATAAATGTACTTAAACTGTTTAAACATAAAAATATAGAAGAATATTAAAAAATTTTCACTGTAGTTTTTTAATGCTAATGTATTTTTAGATTTTTTTAAATTTCTTTTAAAAGAATAGCATTATATATGAGAAACAATTAGTTTTATTTTAGAAAATCCTAAGGATATATTGTAAATTATAAAGCTATCAGAGTGTTAAAAAAAAAAAAAAACTTCGCTGTGATATTTATATTTGAAAGCTTACAAACTTTACTTTTTAAAATTAAATTAATTGCTCGAGCACTTTAAAATATTAGATTTTTTTGATGATTTTCAGTTCAAATATGAAAATGATGTAAAAGCTTTTAAGTTGCAGAGCTCATTCTAGGCAGAAAAAAGGGCAGGGTGCAAAAGTTTAAAAAAGGGCATTATTTTCTAAAAAGGCAATAATTTCTTTCTATGGGCTTTACACGTTCTATTAAATAACATTGTCAATTAGTAAAAGAAATTTTTCTTAAAACTTTACTAAAAGTAGCAAAGCAATCATATTAATTACTAATTTTTATTAATAAATCAACATACATATTGAATTAATGAGCTAATTAGCTTAGTAATTTATTTAAAATTCATGCATAGATTAATAAAATAATAAATGTATGTTTTTGAGTATCTGTAGTTATGATTTTATAATTAAAATGATTAATAATAATTATGATTTAATGATAGTGGAAGTAGCTGCAAACTTTCTAAGACAAGTGCATCAAGGGGGTGTGATGGCTATTTTTCCTTTCCCATATAAATCTATGTATTGACAGCAATGACAAACTAAATAAAAAAAACAATAAAAGTTTAAGAAATCTATTGTAGAGTTTGGGGAAAAAATAAAGAAGGGCTTAGGACAGAAAGGACAAAAAGGGTATGGACTCTATTACATCAGGGCACTAATTTACTTCAGGGGCAACAGGATGGATTCTTTAAACTAAAAGGGCAGCAGGGTGCTGCGCCCTGTTTACCCTGCCTAGAATGAGCTCTGAAGTTGTTTAATAACGTCGCATTTTAAGAAAGTTTTTATAATTAATCATTGCTCTAAAAAGTGAGCAATTTATAAATAAAAATATCTAAGTAATTTGTGAATTTGGTTATAGTTACATTATTTTTGATTTGTATATAATACTACAGACAATTTGATTATGATATTTTAAGTTAACTTAAAGGAACTTAATAATAACTTAAACTTAACTAACTTAAAGGAGAAAAATAAATTAATAAGTTTTATTCTATTCTTTTATGCAAAAATACTTATTTATTTTTCTTTAAAATTTTATGCTTTTTTATTTTCACTAATTTAAAAAGGATTTATTAAATAAACTTGGATATTAACACTCTTAGGCATTTAACTTTCTATAAACTTTTAAAAATTTAACTCCTAATATTTAAATAAAAAAACTTTTTCCCACTTACGTTGGAAGAAACTTTCCCCTTCTTGCAACTTTTATATAGAAAAAATAATTAACCGGATTCACATTATCGCAAAAACTCACGTAATGTAGAAACACTATTACTAGGTATTCTAGTCCAATTTGCCCTCATATAAAATTATATACTTAGAAGATTAAAATGATTGAAAAAATTAAATACCCTCCTAAATAAAATAAAAATCTTATTATAAATATTTTTGTGATTGTGACATTTTGAATTGATATTAAATTTGTCTTAATCAATTTTTTTTAAATCAAAAAATGAGTTTAAGAAAAGTATGCATATCCTGATATTAAAAGATATCCCCCACAACTGTTTTCTGTTAATGAAACTAGAAAAAGTCTTCTATATATTGAAAAACTCTCCTTCAAAATTAAAGGTAATTTATTCCCCTTGTAGGGTAACTATGTTTTGAAACAGGTAACCAGGGTTGGGTTTTTGTCGTCAAAAACTGGTTTTTGACATGACAGTGGTAAAAACCCTACTGTTTTCTTTAATTTATGGCATATAGCAGACAATATATTTTCACAAAATTGCCTTTATAAATGAATGTTGTAAATGATTGCTATTGATTTTGCAACTATATACATGTATTCTTATAGAAGGATATACATTCACATAGAAATATTGTAATATACTTATTGAAAATAGTGATACTTACTTTTATCATTGTAGCTTGATTTGCAAAGGATTCAAAATTTTGAACTTCTTAATTGTTAAAAATAAGCAAACAAAAAAGCTTGGAAATATTAATAAATTCAAGAGCTAAAAAGAAGAGTTTAAAATTTGGCATTTCTTAATATTAGAAATAAGCTAAACAAAACTTGTAACTATACTAACAAACTCTAAGTCAAGAATGACTTGACATTCTTCAGTAATGTAATATGCCAAACAAAATGATGCTTGGAAATGTGGAAAATTTTGTTTATTATCCTAATAATTTACTTCAAATAGTATGTTTTGATATAATCATGTTGGGAAAATGCAAGTATCTGTTCTTAAATATCTTTTAACAACTTTTTTTCTAATTTTATTGCCCAAAAATGAATTAATTTTAAATTATAAGCAGTTAAACTCAAATAAAAATACAGTTTTACCAAAACTATGGGTTTTTGACAGAGGGTTTTTTGACATGACGGTAAAAACCATGGTATAAACGGAAAAAACCGGTTTTTGACAGAGGGGTTTTTGACACGACAGTAAAAACCATGGTATAAACCGGTAAAAAACCGTCGTGTGTCAAAAACTTGCCAACCCTGCTTCTAACCAACATTGAAATATAGCTTGCTAATTATATTCTGTTCAGTCGACGACTCGCTACATTCGAAATGGTGCGAGGAATTGTACTTAAATTTAAAAAAAAAAAAAAATGTGTACCTAAAAAGTTTGAAAAGATTTTGGATTATTATTGTTTTAGCATTAAGTAAATCTCTTATTTTTTTTTCAGGTAGTGATTAACTGGTAGTGATGCTGTACAGAGGCCCCCTTCAATTTGTCTTGAAAAAAAAAGTGACTTTGCTACAGAAAATTGATCACTGTGGAGCATGTGTATTGTGACAGAATTATGTTCAAGCATTATAACTTAAATAATGGGGTCCAGGCTGCAATATTACTATAATTAATATGAATACCATGTTCCTTCAACCGCAGCACTTCCACATTGTTGTGTTCTTTAAGGATTCTTCAATCTGATCTATTTTCCTTCCCCTTCCTTAATTTTTTTTAAAAAACAAATATTCTCTATTGATTAAAGAAACTAATTGTACAAGAGTGTTGAATCAGTGTCCCATTTAACGGTCTTTGTATAATTTGGGTTGAAGCGCGGGCCGGAGTGACACTTTGTACAATGGAGGCGACAAAAAAAGTGTAATTTTTTCTGTAGGGTTAGTTCCAAAAGTTGTTTCGTATTTTCATATAAATTTTAAAAATCACACTTATTAGATTGAGCGTTTATTCGAGGGGGGCAGACCGCAATCATCCTCAAAATAGTAGCGGAGATTCCATTTTTATTAGCTATAATGAATGTATGTTTATGTGTTTAGGAATCTAAAAGAAGGGTATGACCTACAATCACTCGCTTGAATGAAGTTTATTGGTGAAATTTTCTTCCTCAGTGAAAAGTCCTTTCCTAATGTTTTGAAACTTGTTGCCGTTTCCCCCCCTCTGAATCTTCATGTCTTTGTGCACAGCGTTTTGTAACTTATTTTATTTCATCTTCTATCATTATATATTAATTATTTTTGTTTTTGTTTTTTTCAATCTAGCATAGTAGTTTTAAAAATGAAATATATATGTATATTATGTAAATTGCAGTGTTATTTTGGCCAATGCTTCCAAAATAATTAAGATAAAAAGTTTTTAACCTGTCCTCACATTGTCAAGCAGAGCTTTTAAACTGACGTATAACTTTTTTACATCTGTATTTCTAATTGTGTTTAAGGTGCCTATGCTTGTCAAGTCCAAAAGGAAAAAAAAAAAAAAAAAATCTTACCATACAGGAATTACCTTCAAAGTTGGACATTATTATCCCAAGCAAAGTGACATTGATAAATATTAATTTGAAAAATTTAAGTAATTGAATTTTATTTAAGAAAATGTTTTCAATGTTTACCCTTATTCAGTTGTATGTAATGAATGAAATTTATCTTGTTGGATGTCTTCATTTTAAAATAAATGTGTTAAATTAACATTGAAATTCATTCAGTGTGTCAGTATCTTTGTCTGTTTTGATCCATACTTTTCTATGTAATATCTTGATTGTCTCAATGATTTGTGATTCTTTTTCAAAGTTGTTCCGTGTTCTTACTGGGTAGTTATAAATGAAGGGAATTGTGAAACAATGACCAGCCACATTTTTAAGTACCGTTTTGATTTTTTCTTCTGCAGGTTTTTCTTTTAAAAATTTTTATCAAATGGTTATGTTCTGTCAAGAATATAGCCACTGCAGTGTAATGTTTATTAAAAGTACTAGTTATAGAGATACTACTGCCGATACTATATTACATTTTGGGTTATTTGCTGTTGTCCGATTTTAAACTGGAACATGGTACAAGTTCTTAAATTCCTAAAAAAGAAAGTGTCCTTAAATGTTCTGAAATTTTTATGATTTTTTAGATTTTTTTACAGTTAAGAGAAATATAATTCTTAAAAAAATGAAATTTTACATTAAGAAAAAAATTATAAATTTTATTTTGTACCATGAGGCATGGGACGAGGTGCGCAACTAGTATTCATTGCTAATTGCGAGTTATATTACAATTCATTTTAGCGCAATTTACGAAGTAGACAGCATGATTTGCTTCGTTAAAGTGGTTTACGAATTACACATCACTATTCGGATAAGTGATTTGCGAATCATCGTTGCGAATAATGTGAGGCTAATCAAGGCATTTGCTACTTATTGCTTCACGTCTTTCGAATAGGTTTGTTTCTCTATTATATTGACCTGATTTACAAATTACACATTGCAATTTAATCTCTTTGCTAGTAACATATGCGATCTGAGAAATCCCACACTGACCGCATTTAATGTACGCATCACTATCCGTATTAACGCTAATTTAATATGAAGCGCCACGATTCATATTTAAGTGATTTAAAGACTGCACATCATGATTCGTATTCAAACGATTTAAAAATGAAGAAAGCCAAAAGTTGCTACGTAGATTAAGACTAAAAACAGTTTAATTGGAAAAGAAAATTCTGCATATTAATTGCTTGGAGATTTTAATGAAATATCAAATCTACTAATTAAGTATTTTCAAGCAATCGATAGGAACACATCAGATCATTTACTCTTAAAATATTATTAGAGTTTTGAAGTAGGTAAGAGCAAAAATGTTCCAAACTGTGTACACCTTCTATAAGCATGGGTCTGTTTAGAAGAAATTTGGATCAGTTTACGGACCCTTCACAAAATATCTTTTCATGAAAACGGACCCTTCGCAAAATTATCTTTTAATCGGACCCTTTACAAATTTGTTTATCTTAGTTATTGTTTTGTTAATTGAATAAAGCCTTCCCGGGTTTATTCGCTTCCTGAACCTAACCATTGTGTTATTCAAAATATGTCAATTGAAATTATTAAAAATGTGAGTGATTTTATTTCCATTACTTGTCCGAAATGAATATTCTGTCTGAGTAGTACAGGCTAAATACCAAATATTTGTATGTTGCACCTCTAATTTAGTAGCAGCAATTATTGAGCTGAATCTTGTATCAATACACAATTTAAAAAACTAGTTTAAAAGGTTTTTAGCAATTTTTGCAATAACAGGACCCTGTTGCACAAATTCACAAAAGCAGGACCCTGGTTGAAAGAATGTGACTGATGCTTATTTTATAGTCACAAATTATGAGTAGTTTTTTCACAATTTTACAAAAACAGGACCTTTCTAGAAATGTCTGGACAGACCCCTGATGACTTAAAAGCTATTGAACTGAAGTGCTCTTATAGGTTGCTAATACATCACTTGCCTGGATAGCACCCGCATAAAATCTATGAGTCACAATTTGCTCTCTTTCTATATAAAATTTAACTATTAGAGATATAGACTTGGGTATGATTTCATTCGATTCAGCGTAAAAATTAAACTGGATACATATCACTTGCTTAAATATCAACGATAGTGTTCCGCTTCCCCATAGTAAATTCTAGGTAGTCTCATGTTAACTTTAGATAGTCATATTGATCCTTAATTATATTTTTTAAAAACAATTTACAGCTTTCCCGTAACTATTTTTTTATTCATTCACACAGGTTCGTATCTCAAAGCTTAGGGCCAAATTGTATAAAAATTGAATCAGTAACCAAAAATCTGTAAATTGATTTTGTTTCTGCTATAGTTAAGGCTTCTTTTTCTACAAATTTCATGTTTTGCAAAGGCAGTTAATGATCTTATAGCCATATGACCTTATATTTTTACCCTTATAGGGTTATTTTTTTTTAGTAAATGGAAGGCTTCACTTTCTGCTCACTAACCTCCGTGATGGTCCCCATTCATCATAAAAATAAAAAAAAAGAAACTAAGATAATTTATTTATAAAATATATGGTTATTAAAATTTTATGTCTGAACATTTTGTTAATCTCAATGAAAGTAACAAATATCTGAATTTAAAAAAACAAACAAACTATTCTTGGAAAAAAATATTTAAACTATAGGAATATAGAACGTTCAACTCAATAAGTAACACTGATTGAGGAGTTATTATACTTGTTAAAAATAAATATCCTTGTATCATATTGCAGTTCAAGTTGGAAATGCGTTTTAGTCGTTCATATTTTTAAAGATGTTGGTATGAATGTTAAGATTTATACCTGGCAACATCTAATCTCTTTCTCTTACCGTACTGTTTGACCACTTTCTAATTTGGACCTTGTGCCACTAAACCCTACATTCAATCAATCATCAAATCTCTTTCTCTCTTTCCCCCCCTATTTTTTATACAAAAAAGCACTTTAAATTGCAATATCATTTAAATAAACTGAAATTTGCGAAAGAAAAAAAAAACTAGAGATAATTTTGAGCGGAGTTCATAAATGAAAAGATTGCCCATTTTCAACTCTGTTGCAATTCAGTGAACTTGATGGTCTTGCATGTTTTCTTCTTCTTCTTTTTTTTAAAACTAAGTTAAACAGTTGATAATTCCTGAAATATTTTTTTAATTTTGATCGTTCTCCTTTATTTTTTATTACATTATTTTTTGCATTCTTTTAAATTGCTCGAATATTTTTTAAAATTCTAATTGTACTCCTTGTACATTTTCACAGTTTCGAAATTTCGAAACAAAAAGTAACGTACAGCAAAAAAAAAAAGTACTTAAATTATAACTTTCTAACAAATTAGAATATTGGGAAAATATTTTTTATTTATATATTATATATATTTTTTACTGTATGTTAAACAGTTGATAATTCCTGAACTGATAATCGAATATTATTTTTATTTTATTTTGGTCGTACTCCTTGTACATTTTTCTACTCAGTTTCGAAATTTAAAAACAAAAAGTTACGNAAAAAAAAAAAAAAAAAAAAAAAAAAAAAAAAAAAAAAAAGTACTTAAATTATAATTTCCTAACAAATTAGAATTTTGAAAAAAAAAAATGAAAAAAAAATTCGCAATTTCGAAACAAAAAGTAACCTAAAGCAAAAAAAAAGTATTTAAATTGCAATAATTTTCTAACAAATTAGAATTTTGAAAAAAGAGAAAAAAAAATACTGACTCGAGTTTATCTATAAAAGTTTATCAAGTTATAACAAGTTTATCATGTCAAATATTACTCTGTAGTTACATTTCTGCGGCCTGCAAAGTGGCTCGCATGGTTATTTTTACCGCAAGTTTAATCGTTCTCGAACTATAATCGAATGTTAATTTCTTTTTATTCCATCGTACTCCCTGAAAATTTTTTACATATTTTCGTAATTTCAAGTCTCATAGTTTTTGAGTACGTTAAAACAAAATGAAATGTAAAGTTTACTATACATAGTTTTCCTTAAAATAAGTTTTAAAAATAAATATAACTTATCAAAAAGTACATGTAACTTATCTGCTGTTTTACGATTGTAAAACGGTGCATGTCTGGAAACTTAATTAGGCAATATCATAGAATTATAGTAAAGGAATACAACTTTTTGTTTTAAGATTTTAATTCGGAATAATATTGTTACGTAGAATGGGATTGTTACGACTCTTTTTCTCACATTTTAATTTAAATAATGGAACAAAAAAAAAAAAGCTGAAATGACAAAATAAGTTGTACATAAGTATCATAATATGTTAACTAAAAAATTTTAATGCAGCTTAAACAATTATATCTTAAATATTTCAGTAATAGAAATAGAACAGAATTAAAATACCTTTAAATAAAGGAAAAATAAATCATTATAAATTTTATTAGCTTTATGTTGATGGCCACTGAGTATTTTTGGATCTTCTGTGATAATGAAGGATTCCGTCATAGATTTTTCTGTCCAATAAGAATGAACCGATAAAGATGAAAAGACGAAGTTCTTTTTTTTTTTTTTTTTTTAAATGTTATACGGAGAAAAAATGATTACACTTGCTTTCAAAACTCTGATTCTAAATTTATTTTTATGTTTTGTTAAATTTTTATAAGTGTTTAAGTTTGACAATGATATCAACGAAATCCAGTGCAATATTTTAACAGCACCTAGCATCAACAGAGATTTGTATTTAAATTTATTGATTTCAGAGATTCCACAGGTGGTTGTGTTTAATAGACCATTCACACTTTCATTCTTCAATTTTTTTTTAAAACCTGATGTAAGAAAAAAATTATAAATATCACCAATACTAATAAAATAATAATAATAAAAAAATGCCCAACCAATAGCAAACTAATTACAAGCAAATAAATGTGTTAGAGAAGAAAGTGAAAGAAATCCCTAAACTTTCTGTGTTTTCCCTTCGGAGAGAGATTTCTCCCTCTAATAAATGCCACTGATTGTTTTTGTGTATCTGCGCATGCCTTACTGCGCTGGTGCATTTTCTAAGTTCTTGTATCAAACGGTTCGTATTTTCTTGGGGTGTTGATTCTATTGTCCTGATTATATTTAGTGCAATAGTGAGTAATTAGCTTTTATTTATTACTAACTGAGTGGATAGTGACGTATCTTATAATCGCAAGATGAAATGGGAGAGAGGGCAAGGGCCTTAAAAACTTTGAATTAATAAAATAAATTCCCAAATAATGGGCTTTGCTTAGTTGCAAACTAAAGTTGTAGTAAAGTTTTACGTGCTGATTGTTTAAGATCTAAAACTTATAATTTGTTCCGAAATTTTAGAAATAATAATAAATATATAAAATTAAAAAAGTGTTAATAATAATAAAAAAAGGAATCAAAAAGAAATAAATTTAAAAGGTAACAATCTGATTTCTGAAATTTTTTCTCTCAATATGGTAGATAGGGGAAAGGCCTTAAAAACTTAGAATAAAATAAAATAAATTCCCATATAATGGGCTTTGCTTAGTTGAAAACTAAAGTTGTAGTAAAGTTTTACGTGCTCTTTGTTTAAGGTCTAAAACTTATATTTTGTCCCGAAATTGTAGTAATAATAAATATGTAAAATTAAAAAAAAAAAAGCGTTAATAATAATAAAAAAAGGAATAAAAAAGAAATAAATTTAAAAGGTAACAATCTAATTTCTGAAATTTTTTCTCAATAATTTGAATTAATGAAAGTCTAAAAGAAACAATAAAAACTAAATTCTCAAAATACTTTTGAAATTTTTTTATTTAATTTATTTTTCATATTATTTTTGCACTTCAAGTATAAAATATTTTTATTTCATAATAAATTCAGAAAAAAAAATCTTATTTTAAATCCGGGCTACTTTCAGACTTTTTTTTTTTATTGATAAAATCAGTCACGGGAGCTTTAGATAACGAAACAGTTTATGATGGAATTTACAATAATGTGACACATATACAAGGTTTTCCAAAACTGAGATCAAGTGATTACCATCATTAAGTTAAATATAAATTATATTCAGTCTTAAATTAATTATTCCAACTAACTGAAGGGGATAGATATATTTCATATAAAAACTTCATTTATTTATAACAATATGAAAAAGGTTATAGCAGTCGACATGTTTCGGCATATTTTGAAAGCTCGAAGCATGTCGACTTACGTACCATCGTCATAATTTTTGAAGCAAATGAAGTTTTCATATCATTAAGTATAATTTTGTTTTAAAAATAAAATCTGTAATTAAAAATGAAATGCAAATTAATTTTGAGCGCTCGGCAGAAACCATATTTTTATTATACAGACATTGTTATAAGTATAAGCAATCATAATAACTATTTGTTATAACTGTAGAATAAAATTATTCGTATTACGCTGGGGGTTTTCATAGTTCCTTCCCTTAACATATTTTTTTCTGTTATACCAAGAAAGAAAAGCTAATTAATATTTAAATGAGAAAGTAACAAAAAAAAAGTAATTAAACAATGTGAAAAATTATTGTGGAGGTCAATTATAGCAAAGGGGGAACTAGAAGTCGTCGTAACTATTACATTAGATTAGTTGAAATAGTATGTGTTTATTTTATACCCAAAAGTGTTTATTTTATACCATAATTTTAATTGATCTCCGTAATGATTCGTCATATCTTTATTTTTTTCTGAATTACTTTGACCTGCTTTATTTTCTATAAGATAACGATAAACAAACGAAACAAAATTTTATAATAATTCCCAGAATTTAAATGTATAAAAATATTTTAAAACAATTAAAAGGCTAATATTACAATTTCATTTCTGTTGAGGATGATATTTTATTATAACAGTCATGATGATATATTAGCTCGCTGACCTAAACCTTTGTTTATCTTGTCCATTTCTCTCAAATTCATTTCTCAATAAACTCAACCTATGATCTTCACATTATCAATGCATATTTCCTGATTTATTCAAGTAGGATAGGAGGGAAATAAAAAAGTCAATTAAACTTTTGACGAAGATTAATTCGGAAGGTTGGTAATCTAGATAATACATTTTTCTCTCTCTATATTTCCAATGGCTAGGCAATATTTATCGAAGAATGGAACATAGGACAATATAACCTAGTACAGTATGACATAAAACAATTGAATATAAAAGAATCGAGCATGGAACAATAGAACATTGTATAGTAGAACATAAAAGAATATCACATTGATCATAGAACAATAAAACATAAAACAATTAAACATGGAATAACGAATATCAGACAATAGAGCAATTAAAGATAAAACAGTAGAAAAAAACAACATTTATAGAGCAAAGCATAGGAATAAAACCGAATAATAGAACATAGGACACAGTCATGGCTCAAGGAGCGCCCTTCTTCCTAATATCTTCAGACTTTAGTAGGTTCACAAGGAGTTCCCACATCGGTGAACGTGGTTACTAATTTCGATTACTTCTCCAGAATCACATATTGGACCAATAGGAATGGTTGTAAAGGCTATGCGATGAAGATGGGTGAATTGACCCTTAATCATCTCCTTTAAACAGGTGGAAGGTAAACGCAAATAATAGAAAACTTAAATAACAGAACATTAAACAATAGAACATATAGCAATATCTCATTGAATATAGAACAATAAAACATAGAACAAAACAGAACAATTAATCATAGAATAACAAACATACGACAATAGGGCAATTGAACATAAAACAGTAGAAAAAAAACAATATTTGTAGAACAATAAACATGGAGCAAAGCGCAGAACACTGGAATATAAAACAATAAAACTTAGAACACAGAACACGGTCATAGCTCAAGGAGAGCTCTAGCTTCCTAATATCTTGACACCTTAGTAGGTTCACAAAGAGCTTCACATCGGAGAACGTAGTAACTTATTTCGATTATTTCTCCAGAATCACTTATTGAACCAATAGGCTATGCGGTGAAGAGGGGTGATCGTCTCCTTGAAACAGGAGGAAGGTAAACGCAACTGCATTTCATCTTGATTTATCAGGTATAAGTGAAGAGATTTACATAGTAAATAAAAATATCTTTATTAAAAATCAAGATTTGAGTTTTTTTCTTCTTTTTTTTTCTTCACTGCAACGAAAAAGAATCATTATAACATAAGGTCTGCAACTATTAATGACAATAACGATTGAACAGAAGGTGAAAAGAGATCAAACATAATACTTGATCCATCAGAATGTTTCTAAATACTTACCTATGAAATTATAGAAAAGTCTTGGAATATTTCCTTAAAAAAAGATAAAAATTAAGTATTAAACTTTTTCTTAAAAGTAACAAGTTGTTTTTTCTCAAAACCTATTAAACCAATTGATGAATATAATTACTCTGTTTTATTTGTTATTGCCGTTAGCGCCTGAATTTTTAATATTTTTTTTTAATTCATTAATGGATAAAGAGACATAGATTCTTTTTTTTAAACTAAAATGTTTTTGGTTTAATTTTCCAAAATTGTGTTTTGAGTTTCAAAATTGTATTTTAAAAATATAGTTAAAAATTCGAGGGATGTTTCAAAAAAGGCATATTTTTTTGTAAATTATATAAAGTTAAAAATTCAAATTAGACGAAAAATTCTTGATTGACTCACAGAAATAATTTTGTGTGTGTTTTGTTTCGTTACTTAATTAGAATATACAAATGCAAAACATATTTCTCCAATCATATTCACTTTAGGCTATTAAGTAAATAAATAAAAAAAATCAGTCAAGACAAATTTTAAACAAAGGTTCAGTTAAGCTTTATCAGTTTATTTTCTTTCTCGTTTCCTTAATTTGGACAAAGGTCCAATATTAATAGCTGAAAGAATGTAAATTAAATTCAAATTAAAGTGTTTAATTTTAAACATTCTCGCTCGTCGGAACGAAGTCGACACATTACATTACACTAAATTTCTTTTGGAGATAATATGACGCTGAATTCTGTTGGGAGCAATCAGTAAATTAGTTATGTCATAGAGTTTCATTAGTACTCAAGATAGTCTTAAAGTAATCAATTACAGTGACTGGTTGGTTTATAGAGTAATAAGATACGCTTCTTTTCAGGAAAAAAAAATCTCACCTCAAAAAAATAAGCGAATAAAATATTTTAAATTTCAGTTCGAATAATCTTTGTCTCAAAATGTCATTGTTTCGACTCACATATACCTGCCCGTTGACTGCTGCAAGTTGAAGCACTTCACTCTGAGCGAAGTGCTGTCAGTATCACTGATGACTGAATACTTTTTCATGCACCCTTTAACTCAGAATTTATAATAAACATACTTTTCATACTTTTTTCTTTATTTTGTATTAATTAAGGCTAAAATAAGTAAAAAATATTATATTTATTTTATAATTTATGATAATGAAATACAGTACGAAACGTTGGTGACTTTTTTTGCTTTGAAGGTAAAACACGGCTCAATTCGAATCAATAATTTTTTTATATTTCCAGTTATTTAGACCTAAGAGCTATTCATCATTGAAATTTCTTTATTTTATAAAATCAATTATTGATAAATTTTTAATTATGAATGGAAAAAAAAGTTTTTTTTTTTNTGTTTTTTTTTTCGCACTTCTTTTTTTTTTTTTAATGTTTTACTACAAATATAATTCCGATAATCTCACCGATTCTTTTTAATAACCATTGGACTGCTTTTTATAATCAGAAAATACCAAAATGTATTTTTCCTGGTAACTAAAGCGTCAGAATATATGCGCAATATAGAATGCCTCATACGAGTCTTTCTATAATAAATCATAAGCTTAGAATAGATTTCTCGTATTAATTTTAAGACGTAGAAATCGCTCTTTCACAGAGAGCCATAAAAAGTCAAATTAAAAGATTATTTTCTGAAGTTAATGGACAATAATTTTTTAGAAAAATACTCATTAAGAAAATCCCAAAAATTCCCTATTGTCAAAAGGGTCTTTAGAACGCATCAAAATCTCTAAATTTTCCCATTTGAATGACGTTTGATTAAGATAAGGATATTCTTACAACCAATTCCCTTTCAGAATCCATGTTTTAAAAGCAGGAGCCCATCTAGCCATTTTTTTCATGGCTACATAAATCTGTGCCAAATCCCAACATTCCTGCCCCATGGAAACCCTCATTGTAATCCATGCAAAAATTCAACTTAAGCTCTAAAATTAGCTTAATATAAATTAATAAGATGCATATTTATTTAAATTAGCCAAAGTGTCTTGGATTATCTAGCCTTTAGGCATATTATATATATATATA